TTGCCGACGAATGGTAAGGTGTGACGTTTATGTGTATTTATGTATATAAGTACGTAAAACCTATTTTAAATCCTTGTTATTCATTTGTATTTCTTACTGGGCTTAATAGCTCATATGGATACTTTCTAATTGTAGGTAGTAGTAGTAATCCCTCGTCAAAATGGACCGAGTAGTGGATCGAAGTCTTGCCTGGAGTTTTGGACGATCGTACGAGGGGTCTATAAATTATGCTTGCGCTATTTTGGTAATGTAAACTAAAGACAAATTTCTAATTTCCGTACTTTGATTTTATCGTATTTCATCGTTAGGAGAAATGAACTCTTATTTCGGTACAAGCCTCGTTTTGAAACTTTAATATAATTGGTCCCTTTATTCTAGTAACTATTATTCTTGCTCAAAATCTTTATTTCACCAAATATTTTTCCAAAACTCTAATTTTCATTCGAACCTCTTTTAAATCTAAAAATAGCTTTCTTCATAAAGTCTAGCACTCGGAAATCACTCCCTTACGAAAACAGAGTTTCCGATTTTTATGAAAGAAGATTTCGGAAAAAAGAATAATTAGTATCGATCATTCATTCACCATTTAAAAAAGGGGACTTGTAAATCTATAGAAGAAAAAGGTTTTAAAATTTCAAAGTCCATATGATTATAAAACAAAAAGATCTTTTGCTTCCGCTATATTAAATCTGATAAACCGGGTTCGATTTACCGCCCTATAAGAAGGGGGTGCTACATCACGTCGTGATACCATCGTTTCACGAATCGAAAACTTCTATTTGTTTTATAATCAGATGGAGTATTAACCGATTTGCTCTTATTTGGAGATGACTCAAAATGGATGTGTTACTTTTTTACACGAAAAATCATAACTTTAGTATTATTTTATATTAGTCTAAATTTGTCATTCCGAAATAATGTTTTAATATTAGAAAATGCGCCTTTAGATTTGGAAACAACGAACCTTTAGATTTTATTACCTATAAGTGTATTACAATGATGAATAGTAACACAAATGTTTTGAATGAAAAATGAGCTGTTGATTTTGATTTTGTGTGTTGGATCTATTTTATGATTTTTTTTTATTCTTCTTTCTGTTAAGTTTTGTCATGTTCACTTTGTAATATACTTCTCATCCGAGTTGTCAAGTAAAATATTTAAATTCGTCTCTTATAATTTATGTGAAGAATAGAATGGATAAAGTTTCATATAAGGAAATACATGGATTCATGTTTGTAGTCTCATTGTGCGTACTTTCTGCAGATGAATTTCAATATCTCGAAGATCATGTAGAATAGTTAACTAGTACACTAGAATTACACATGAATGATTTACGGTACACGATCATAGGCAACAAATGAATGAGTTGGCTCCAAAGACATAAAGTACCACGTGATTAGATTTAATCTGTACCGGTATCATATAGTGTAGGCTATAATGTGTTACCCGAACAATTTCATCTAAGATGGTGGACGAGAGGCTTTGAAGTTGGTGTGTTTGAAGTGGAAAGCTAGCTATAATGATATAAAGTATTTGGAGAATGAATTAAAGCGATGGGGAAGTCGAGGGTGGGAGCCAGTGGAGCTGCTTCAAAGCGGACCAAGTTCACTTAGATTTGATGTGCAAATTTGCTGTAGGTTTTAGTTTTTTTAAGTAAGTCTAGTTTTGACTAGTTAAACATTTTTTTAACTAGAGTTTCAAATCCCTCATTTATCTTGTTTGGCCTTGTCTTTTGAGGTCATTGGCCAAGTGACGTTCCAATTTTTTTAATATAAAAGCTAATTATTTTATCTGCGGGATGTTTTTGTTGGTTCGAATGGAGTTGTGACCCCCTCCCCCTCCCTAATTATTTTAATTGCTTTATGATGATGGTTCTCCACTATTTGACTCTTGCATTTCCTCGTTTTACATTTTTATTAATGTATTATTTCACCCTAAAACATATTAAATTTTTGAACTAGACCCTCTACAAACATAAAACTGAGAACTGCCCTTGAAAATACAAAATGCATGGATATTTGCCCCAATTGTTATTCTTTGGTAGAATAATGCATTGTAGTAAAGGGTAGTTTCGACATTCAATTCCAGTTCAATATATCCCCACCCTAATTCCACTTTAATATACAGTTAAACCTCTATAAATTAATACTGTTGGGGCCATCAAAATTTCATTAATTTAGCGAAATATTAACTTATCGATAAATTAATAATTATTAATTTATACATTAATTAATAATTATTAATTTATACATTAATTAATAAATTATTAATTTATGAAATTACTTTTATTATTATTTTCAATAAATACATTTTTTTTTTTACGTGTATTATTCATCGTACCATTAGTTCAATGCATTATGGAGCCCGTTTCACGAACGGAAGCTCTTAAAGCAGCAATGGTATATAACGATTTTATGTTGATTATGACAAAACAATACCGAAAGTTCTAGCCATGTTAAGAAAAGTGAGGGACGAGATTGATGGTAATGTGAACTTCAACAAGAAACAAGCAACAATTAAATTATATTGTATTAAGCTTTCATAGATCTATAAAATATGTATTATACCGTGTAATTTAAGAATTATTTTTATGCATTATTAATTTATATATTATATGGGGCTTCTTAAATTTTTCGAATGTGTATTATCTTTTAAATTTAGCGAATTAATAATTTAGCACGTTGTCCCCGAGTTGGGACCATGGAAATTTATTATTTAAACGAGATTATTAATTTATCGGGTATTAATTTATCGATGTTCTATTGTATCCTATATGTTGGTAAGTTTAGGATTTAGTCTTACCAAGTTGTCATGTTTCAATTTTACATGTAATAATTGTATAAAATTAATATTTCTTAGTCCTATTTCATTCGAACTTTGAATTCTAGCAGCCGTATGATAGATGTAGCTAACAAACTTGTCGAAGTTTATTTATATGGCCGCTTAAAAATTATATATATGCTCATCTAATTTGGTTTATAGATGCGTTTTTCACATAATCAAAGTTCTATCAAAACTAAGTTCGATTTCGAATTTATAATTGTCAGGATAAATAGCACTTAACCCCTGTGATTTGAGTTTTCTGCACATGATCCCTTGTACTTTCAATATAAGCACATGACCCCTCTATAGTTTGAACTTTGTGCATATGATCCCCTTGGACGTACTTTTCATATAAACAGATAACGCCCTTTATGGTATATATGTCACTTCATGCTCATTAGGAAGAATTTCTCTTTTTGAAAGTACAAGGGGGCTATGTGTCTATATTAAAATATTGGGGATCATATGTTATATTAAAAGTATAAGGGAGCTATGTGTCTATATTAAAATATAGGGGAGTCATATGTTATATTAAAAGTACAAGGGGATCAATCATCTGCACAAAGTTCAAGCCACAGGGAATGTAAGTGCAATTTACCTTAATTTTTAAGCGTTCGTCCGTATAAGTGAAATGCGTCAAGTTTATTTGTCGCGCCATAAAATTAAAAATTCATGCAAAATAAAACAAAAAAAATACTATATTTGCAAAGTTATAGATTGCATGTATAATTGAAACAAGTTAAATGACTAAATCTCTAAAGAGGCCAACATAGAGGACTAAAATACAATTTTCCAAAATATTTATTTATACCAATGTCAAACGTGATAAAAAGAAAAAAAAAAGAATATTATAGTAAACTTTATTTGTCGTGGATCCCAAGCATGAAAGTTTCTGAAAGAAGAAGAAAAAGTCGAACACGAAGAAGCGTAAGTTAAACAAAAAGCAAAATTAGGGTTTCAAAATGGGAAACAAAGAAGAGCAGGTTAGTGAAAAATAAATGGGTAAATTCAATTTACACCCCTAAAGTATACCCTCTGTAACACTTACGCTCTAAAGTATCGTTTGTAACACTGTACTTACCCCTAAGCTCAATTTAATTTGTATTTAAATCCTAATACCTTTAAATTTTCTATTTTTTTTTTAATTTAAAAGAATAATTAAATTATACAACTAAAATATATGTTGAAAACTATAATATTTTATAAGTTAAAAATATTATCTTGTGTTAAGTACATTTAATAAATAACATCGAACTGTTATTTGAACCAATTAATCGAATATCCTCATATCGATAAATTTTAAGAAATCAATACATAACTAATAGTAATCTTAAGTATTTAAGTTTATTTTAGTTCATTAATTTCTTAAAATATATTTTCATTTTATTATTATACAATATATTTTTTTTTTCAAATAATTTAATTTTACTTACTTTTCATTTTTTTATAATCCAATAATTACTCGATTGTTATGTTTATGATGTTTTAATTTTATAATATAAAATAATTGATATTGAGGGGTAAGTGTTACAAATGATACTTTAAGGGGTACCGTGTTATATAAGCTATACTTCAGGGGTGTAAAGTGTATTTAACCCAAAATATAATAAAAACGGCATTAGGGTTACGAAATTGTTTTTTTTTTTTTTTTCGCTCTAACCCACTATCGAGCCCCTTGGCCATTACCTCGCAACGGCCTTTCCAGATCGATTGAAGAGAGAGAGAGAGAGAGAGATGAATTTTTGTGGATCTGTGGGCGACGCCATGAAAGTTGGAAAATTGGAGGAGAAGGAAGCAGAGAAGGAGGAGGAGAAGAAACCGAAAACCATATGTTGTAAGCGCCAATTACAAAGCGGAAAGAGAGTTTCGTGGAATATATCAATCGACGACGACGACGTTTACATTAAGAACCCTAAACAACGCAAAATTAACGACGACGACGACGACGACGACGAGGAGAATTTTGAGGAGGAGGAAGAAAAGGAAGAGGAAGAGGAAGAGGAGGAAGAAGAAGAAGAAGAAGAAGAAGAAGAAGAAGAAGAAGAAGAAGAAGAAGAAGAAGAAGAAGAAGAAGAAGAAGAAGAAGAAGAAGAAGAAGAAGAAGAAGAAGAAGAAGAAGAAGAAGAAGAAGAAGAAGAAGAAGAAGAAGAAGAAGAAGAAGAAGAAGAAGAAGAAGAGAAATGTGCCGAAGGGGTTTTTTTCGGATGACGAAATTGAAGAAATTGATGAGGATCAAATTGAGGACGACGATCGTACCATACTTACGAACGACGAGGAGGTTATTATTGTGTTTTTTTTTTAATAATAAATTTCTTGATCGAACGGCCTAATTTTGTTTCTTATTTTGCTCTGATGATTAATTTACTACATATTGAATTCAATTTGTAGGAGGGTTGGGGTGTCGTAAACAGGTATGTAGATGATTCCCCGAGCTCTGCAATCGGATCTGAAGGCAAACTCGAAACTTATGCCAACCTAGCTATTGATGTCTACAACCAAGTCAAGGTAGGATGATGAATCTTTAATTCTACTTATTTTATGATAAATCTTTCAAACAAAAAAAAAATCTTTTTGTTTGTTTGTGCGTGTGTTTGTGCAGTCGAAGGAACACCGTTTGGTGAAGGTGGTGAGCTCAACTCGATATTTTTGCCAGGGTTACTTATATAGTATAACCTTTGAAGCCAAACTTCCTGGCCAAGATGATTCGGATGCACTCACTTTAGTTACTGAGGTTTACGAAGATTTCTCCGGTGAACGTCAAGTAGACTTTGTTTGCAAGCCCGATGAACGTCCACCTTACGATCCCTAAACCCGATAATCTAGGTATTTCGTTTTCCAATTCTGGTAGAGAAAATAATTATGTATTTATTTGTTGAATTCATGGGTTAGATTCGCAAACGCAGTCGCTCGTAGCCAATTTAAAATTTAATTTTTTTCATGGTTTATTGAGCATTCCGCGCTATGTTAATTAATTGCAATTTAGTCTCTGAGGTAGATGGGCCTTCTTTCGGTTTGCTTTTGCAGAATTTAGTACACTCGTAAAGGCTGCATTTGGATGCAAGGGTTTGCATTTGAGGGATTTTCGAACGACTTTTAATGAGATGGATTTGAAATGTTGGTGATTCGAAATCCACATTTGCAGAATATAGACGGTGCTCAACTCTTCTTACGACGTGGAATAATTAAACGAATATGATCCCGATGAAGAATTGAGTTGGCCGGGTTGATACTTAAGAGTTTCTTTCACATTTGATTGATCGTAATGGTAGGGTTAAGAAGTACTTGTATGTCAATTAGTTCATTAATTCCTCGTATATTACATTTAATTTTTCGCTTGCTCATTCATTTTAATTTCTAAATAATTTCGCGTAAAATTTATAAATTATTAAAGAAAATAACTTTTTAAAATTAAGACGGGTTTCGACCCGTGAAGGTTGGGTTCTACTTTAAATCCGCAATAAACCCGTTTAGCCTAAACTCGTCGAAAACCCACAAATTTGGTTCTTAAAATCAAGAACTGTTGATTTTGCTAGAACTCATAATAGTAATTATACATTTATATTATTTTTTTAGTTACTATCTTCATCTATAAGTTTTCAATATGATATATTATTATATATGAGTTCGAGTATTGTGCAATATTGACATTGTGGGAACTAACACTCTTAATTATATTATATATATAATTAGATTTTTGTAATTCCATTTTTTAGGACCCGTGCACACCCTATACTATCGTGTAAATTAATGCTACCATGAAATTAATTATAGAGTAAATAAAAAAATGTAAAAAAAAATAATGTCACTGTTAATCTTTTTTTTTAATGTTAATGTGATGTTTAATATTAGTGTGGAAACAATGTTAGAGTTAAAGAATGTGAAGAAAAAAAATAATGTTACTATTAAAATTAATGTTATTGTGAAATTTTTTTAAAAGAAAAGATTAATGCTACTATAAATATTAAGTTGCGGATATATGCAAGCCCATTTTTTTATTAGTTCAAGACCTCCAACATAAAAATACTAATTTACCCTTAATGAAATTCAAAACCAAATAAAAAACATAAATCATAAAACGGCGTTACAACGCCAATTTTGACTTGTAAAGTCGCCGTTGTGTCGCCGATTTGGTTAACAAAAATCGGCATTGTGACGCCGATTTTCGTGTACAAAATCGGTCTAAATAAACCGATTTGGGAAAACGGTTTAACACACAAAAAAATCATTTTCAATCTCATTTTTTTTTTCAAAATCGGCTAAAGCATTGCAACCCAACAAGAAGTAAGCATAGATTAATATTCATCCACGTATATTTATCAAGAATCGATGCTCGATTAATGTTTTTGAATTGACAAACAAAAGTTTAGTAAAATGGACTTGTTGGTGGTGGTGGGGTGGTGGTGGTGATGGTGCGGTGGAGGTGGTGCGGTGAGTGGGTCGCTGGTCGTCGCCGGCGCGGTGGAGGTCTCGCTGGTCGATGTCTCGGCGGTCTGGTGGCGGCAATTGTGAGTTTTTTCTATTTCTTTTTCTATTTTTTTTCTTTTTTTTTTTAGCTTTTTTATTTTATAATTTTTTGTCTTGAACAAATTAAAATTAGAGTTTGTTTGTATTTGGGTATTATTTATTGATAAGGGTATATTCTTCTTGTTTGGTCTTGATGTAATAAAATTAAATTAATTTACATGCTTGAACTAATAAACTCATTTATGTGGATTTAAACTAATAAAAAAATGAGCTTGCATATATCCGCCGCCTAAAAATTAATGTTACCATAAAAATAATGTTACAATAAACCAAAACACAAATGGTAAAAAAGAAAAAAAATCAATAACGTTATTGTGAAAATTAAAATTATTGTGACGAGTATACTGTGTTGAGAGGTTATAATACATATAAATGTTGGGGCTCTTTGAGAAAACTCCCTCGTTATTTTTTTTAATGGAGAGAGGCCCAAAATATTTCTCTCCATTTGAGAAAAGCCCACACCCATTTTCAGCCATTATATATTCCAGCTTTACCCCCACCCGCCGCATCATCACTGTGTCACGCGCTCAGCGTTTTTTTTTTTTCCCCGTTTTTTTTCTCTGTATTTTCTGTATCAGTTTCCTTCATCGACTATGGAGCATAGTCGATAAGCCTTAATCGACTATGCTTCATAGTCGATTAAGAAAATTCTTTAATTTTTTTTTTCTATATCAGGTATATTAATCGAATATGATGAAGCATAGTCGATTAAGAATCTTCTACTAAACATAATAAATAACAATTGCAAAAAAAATGCAAAATAAACTATATTTTACAAAATACAAAAAATATACAAACATTATAATTGATTTATACAATTGGAATCAATAAACAAAAAATCCAAAAATAAATATTGGAGCCGATCAACCTTAATCGACTACCAGAGCATAGTCGATTAGCTTAATCGACTATTGAATATGTACATAGTCGATTAAGGTTCCAACTTGCGCGAATTTCTCTACACGCGCCGTCCTCCGCCCAATCCACCAAAAAACCCTAGATCTGCCTCCCCATCGCACCACAACGTCGCCACACCACACATCTGTATCCCACGCCGTCGCAAAAGATTATTATTTACCAATAAAATAGACAAAAATCATAGTTGATCTATAATTTCTTTAATGCAATGGAAGACAAGGTCAAGGCAGCAGGTA